CGACTACTGCCACTACAACTAGGACTACTACTACGACTACTACCACCACTACGACTGCTACCACTACGACTACCACCATCACTACTACCGAGACTGCTAACCCGAAGACTGCTATCACTACGACTACTGCCACTACAACTAGGACTACTACTACCACCACCACTACGACCGCTACCGCTACGACTGCTATTTGTACTCAAGTAAATGCATGCATCGCGATCGTGATGTCGGTGGGAAATAAAGTTCACTCGTTTGCTAACTTTGCTCGCTCACTCGCTCGCGACCGCGATCCAGCGGAATAACCCTGCCTGCCCATCCTCGCAGGGGCAGCTGCCACTGGGGGTGCCCCTAGGCTACAGACCACACAGCAGACTAACACAGGGACAGCTGCCACTGGGGGTGCCTCTAGGCTACAGCACCACACAGCAGACTAACACACAGGGACAGCTGCCATTGGGGGTGCCCCTAGGCTACAGCACCACACAGCAGACTAACACACAGGGACAGCTACCACTGGGGGTGCCCCTAGGCTACAGCACCACACAGCAGACTAACACACAGGGACAGCTGCCATTGGGGGTGCCCCTAGGCTACAGCACCACACAGCAGACTAACACACAGGGACAGCTGCCACTGGGGGTGTCCCTGGGCTACAGCACCACACAGCAGACTAACACAGGGACAGCTGCCACTGGGGGTGTCCCTGGGCTACAGACCACACAGCAGACTAACACACAGGGACAGCTTCCACTGGGGGTGCCCCTAGGCTACAGCACCACACAGCAGACTAACACAGGGACAGCTGCCACTGGGGGTGCCCCTAGGCTACAGCACCACACAGCAGACTAACACACAGGGACAGCTGCCACTGGGGGGGTCCCTGGGCTACAGACCACACAGCAGACTAACACAGGGACAGCTGCCACTGGGGGTGTCCCTGGGCTACAGACCCACACAGCAGACTAACACAGGGACAGCTGCCATTGGGGGTGCCCCTGGGCTACAGCACCACACAGCAGACTAACACAGGGACAGCTGCCACTGGGGGTGTCCCTGGGCTACAGACCCACACAGCAGACTAACACAGGGACAGCTGCCATTGGGGGTGCCCCTGGGCTACAGCACCACACAGCAGACTAACACAGGGACAGCTGCCACTGGGGGTGCCCCTAGGCTACAGACCACACAGCAGACTAACACACAGGGACAGCTGCCATTGGGGGTGCCCCTAGGCTACAGACCACACAGCAGACTAACACACAGGGACAGCTGTCACTGGGGGTGCCCCTAGGCTACAGCACCACACAGCAAACACACAGGGACAGCTGCCACTGGGGGTGCCCCTAGGCTACAGACCACACAGCAGACTAACACACAGGGACAGCTGCCACTGGGGGTGTCCCTGGGCTACAGACCACACAGCAGACTAACACACAGGGACAACTGCCATTGGGGGTGCCCCTGGGCTACAGACCACACAGCAGACTAACACACAGGGACAGCTGCCACTGGGGGTGCCCCTAGGCTACAGACCACACAGCAGACTAACACACAGGGACAGCTGCCACTGGGGGTGCCCCTGGGCTACAGCACCACACAGCAGACTAACACACAGGGACAGCTGCCACTGGGGGTGCCCTTGGGCTACAGACCACACAGCAGACTAACACACAGGGACAGCTGCCACTGGGGGTGCCCCTAGGCTACAGACCACACAGCAGACTAACACACAGGAACAGCTGCCACTGGGGGTGCCCCTGGGCTACAGACCACACAGCAGACTAACACACAGGGACAGCTGCCACTGGGGGTGCCCCTAGGCTACAGCACCACACAGCAGACTAACACACAGGAACAGCTGCCACTGGGGGTGCCCCTAGGCTACAGACCACACAGCAGACTAACACAGGGACAGCTGCCACTGGGGGTGCCCCTGGGCAGTCTCTGAAACTTGGGAAGAGTTGCAGCTTCTTTAAGCTCAACCGGCTCGGGTTGAACTAATCAAGATGGCCGCTCACACGATGACCAGGACCACGCCGCCGTGAATTCAACCGGTTCGGGTTGAACTAATCAAGATGGCCGCTCGAACGTGACCAGGACCACGCCGCCATGAACTCAACCGGCTCGGGTTGAACTAATCAAGATGTCCGCTCGCACGTGACCAGGACCACGCCGCCGTGAACTCAACCGGCTCGGGTTGAACTAATCAAGATGGCCGCTCGCACGTGCCTTTTTCCCCCGCCCCTGCAGACATCCGGTCCCGTGACGTCACAACAGCCGCCGTCCCATCGCGCGAGCTGTGACGTCGTTTTATTTTAAGTGTCCGTGACGTCATGCAGGGTACACGCCCACACACACATGCTCCTCCCCTCCCACGCCCCTCCCCCCCTTCAAACCCAATCCTCCCCACTGCCACGACCACGCGCGTGCGTTCAGTTTTTTTGGCGGGAAAAAAAAGATTTTCCTCGTGCACGCGGCCACGGTGAACTCGGAACTCGAGGTGAGTTAAAAAATATATATTTTTTTATATTTTCCCGCGCAAAGTTTTAGCAACCACCCCTCACCACAACCACTCACCACCCTCTACCATCCACCCTCACCACAACCACTCACCACAACCACTCACCACCCTTACCACTCACCACTCTTACCATAACCACTCACCACCCACCCCCTCACCACAACTACTCACCACCCTCACTACTACCACTCACCACCCACCCCCTCACCACAACCACTCACCACCCTCTACCATCCACCCTCACCACAACCACTATCACCCTCACCACCCACCCCCTCACCACAACCACTCACCACCCTCACCATCCACCCCCTAACCACAACCACTCACCACCCTCACACCCTCACCACAACCCCTCACCATCCACCCCCTCACCACAACCACTCACCACCCTCTACCATCCACCCTCACCACAACCACTCACCACCCTCACCACAACCACCCATCACCTCACCACAACCACTCCACCCTCACCACAACCACTCACCACCCCACACTCACCACCCCCTCACCACAACCACTCACCACCCATCCCCTCCATCCCCTCCTCACCATAACCACCCTCACCACCCCACACTCACCACAACCACTCACCACCCATCCCCTCCTTCACCACAACCACCCTCACCACCCATCCCCTCCTCACCACAACCACTCACCACCCCACCCTCACCACAACCACTCACCACCCTCACCACAACCACTCACCACCCCACCCTCACCACAACCACTCACCACCCATCCCCTCCTCACCACAACCACTCACCACAACCACCCTCACCACCCACCCCCTCACCACAACCACTCACCACCCATCCCCTCCTCACCACAACCACTCACCACCCCACCCTCACCACAACCACTCACCACCCATCCCCTCCTCACCACAACCACTCACCACCCTCACCACAACCACTCACCACCCCACCACTCACCACCCAACCACCCTCACCACAACCACTCACCACAACCACTCACCACCCATCCCCTCCTCACCACAACCACTCACCACCCATCCCCTCCTCACCACAACCACCCTCACCACAACCACTCACCACCCATCCCCTCCTCACCACAACCACCCTCACCACAACCACTCACCACCACAACCACTCACCACCCAACCACCCTCACCACCGTACCACTCAACGATAACGACAAGCTCCCATTTGCGGTGCACCCTCTCGTCACAGACGAGCTACATCGGCGGACATTGAAGGTAACAACAACAATAACTCGACATTGTGTACCACCACGCACGCCACTGCTAGGAATTGATGGCTACCATGGGATTGTGAGGTTTACCGCGGTAAGATAAATAGTTTTAAGTCTTTTTTTGGGGAGGGTGAGAGGGGCAGTGGTGAACGGTTCTAAATTTACCTCACAGTCTTTTTTTTGCATTAAAATGTTTACCTCAGTACAAAACAACGTGAGGAGAATGTACTTCTAAATGTTTGCCTCAAGTACATAACGGGGTTTTTTTTGGTCCTAAATGTTTACCTCAGAAGTAAATTCTAACGTTTTTAATTAAATGTTTACCTCAGAAGTACAGCCTCATTTTTTTGTACTAAATGTTACCTCAGAAGTACATTCTCCTCACGTTTTTTTTGTCTTAAATGTTTACCTAAGAAGTAAATTTTCACGTTTTTTTTGTACTAAATTTTACCTCAAGAACATGCTCACGGTTTTTTTTTGGTCCTAAATGAAAGTAAATTCTCACGTTTTTTGTATTAAATGTTACCTCAGAAGTACATTCTCCTAACGTTTTTTTTGTCTTAAATGTTTACCTCAGAAGTACATTTTCACGTTTTTTTGTACTAAATTTTACCTCAAGAACATGCTCACGTTTTTTTTTTGGTCCTAAATGAAAGTAAATTCTCACGTTTTTTGTATTAAATGTTTACCTCAGAAGTACATTCTCCTAACTTTTTTTGTCTTAAATGTTTACCTCAGAAGTACATTTTTACGTTTTTTTGTACTAAATTTTACCTCAAGAACATGCTCACGTTTTTTTTGGGGTCCTAAATGTTTACCTCAGAAGTAAATTCTCACGTTTTTTGTATTAAATGTTACCTCAGAAGTACATTCTCCTAACGTTTTTTTTGTCCTAAATGTTTACCTCAGAAGTACATTTTCACGTTTTTTTTGTACTAAATTTTACCTCAAGAACATGCTCACGTTTTTTTTGGTCCTAAATGTTTACCTCAGAAGTAAATTCTCACGTTTTTTGTATTAAATGTTACCTCAGAAGTACATTCTCCTCACGTTTTTTTTGTCTTAAACGTTTACCTCAGAAGTACATTTTCACGGTTTTTTCGTACTAAATTTTACCTCAAGAACATGCTCAGGTTTTTTTTTGGTCCTAAATGAAAGTAAATTCTCACGTTTTTTGTACTAAATGTTACCTCAGAAGTACATTCTCCTAACGTTTTTTTTGTCTTAAATGTTTACCTCAAAAGTAAATTTTCGCGTTTTTTGTATTAAATGTTACCTCAGAAGTACATTCTAACGTTTTTTTGGTCCTAAATGTTTACCTCAGAAGTAAATTCTCACGTTTTTTGTACTAAATTTTACCTCAAGAACATGCTCACGTTTTTTTTTGGTCCTAAATGAAAGTAAATTCTCACGTTTTTTGTATTAAATGTTACCTCAGAAGTACATTCTCCTAACGTTTTTTTGGTCCTAAATGTTTACCTCAGAAATAAATTCTCACGTTTTTTGTACTAAATGTTACCTCAGAAGTACATTCTCCTCACGTTTTTTTTGTCTTAAATGTTTACCTCAGAAGTACATTTTTACGTTTTTTGTACTAAATTTTACCTCAAGAACATGCTCACGTTTTTTTTGGTCCTAAATGTTTACCTCAGAAGTAAATTCTCACGTTTTTTGTACTAAATGTTACCTCAGAAGTACATTCTCCTAACGTTTTTTTTGTCTTAAATGTTTACCTCAGAAGTAAATTCTCACGTTTTTTTTGTACTAAATTTTACCTCAAGAACATGCTCACGTTTTTTTTTGGTCCTAAATGAAAGTAAATTCGCACGTTTTTTGTATTAAATGTTACCTCAGAAGTACATTCTCCTAACGTTTTTTTTGTCTTAAATGTTTACCTCAGAAGTACATTTTCAAGTTTTTTTGTACTAAATTTTACCTCAAGAACATGCTCACGTTTTTTTTTGGTCCTAAATGTTTACCTCAGAAGTAAATTCTCGCGTTTTTTGTATTAAATGTTACCTCAGAAGTACATTCTCCTCACGTTTTTTTGTCCTAAATGTTTACCTCAGAAGTAAATTCTCACGTTTTTTGTATTAAATTTTACCTCAGAAGTACATTCTCCTAACGTTTTTTTTGTCCTAAATGTTTACCTCAGAAGTAAATTCTCACATTTTTTTTGTACTAAATTTTTACTTCAGAAGTTCACTCTCTCTCACGTTTTAGTGCTCGAAATATTACCTCAGAAGTCGTCTGGCATTGTAGTTACTACTTTTACTTCAGAAGTACATTCTCACGTTTTAGTCCAACATTTTACCTCAGAATTACATTCTGCTCACGTTTTTCGTACTAAATTTTACCTCAGAATTACTCTCCTCACGTTTTAGTACTCTACGAAATATTACTTAAGTAGTCTCGCATTTTAGTTACTAAGTTTTACCTCAGAAGTACTCTCCTCACGTTTCAGTCCAACTAATTACCTCAGAAGTAAATTCTCACGTGTTATGTCCAATGTTAACTCAGAAGTGCAGTTACACATTGGAGTTACTACATTTTACCTCAGAAGTACCATCGGTCACGTGCTCAGTACCAGATTTTACCTCGGAAAAAGTACATTCCCATCACGTTTTTCGTATTACATTTTACCTCAGAAGTAAACCCTCCTCACGTTTTAGTCCAAAATGTGACCTCAAGTACAATCCGTGACGTTTTTAGTATCAAAAGTTACCTCAGAAGTACCATCCGTCACGTGCTCAGTACCAGATTTTACCTCAGAAAGTACATTCCCATCACGTTTTTCGTATTACATTTTACCTCAGATGTAAACACTCCTCACGTTTTAGTCCAAAATGTGACCTCAAGTACAATCCGTGACGTTTTTAGTATCAAAAGTTACCTCAGAAGTACCATCCGTCACGTGCTCAGTACCAGATTTTACCTCGGAAAAAGTACATTCCCATCACGTTTTTCGTATTACATTTTACCTCAGATGTAAACACTCCTCACGTTTTAGTCCAAAATGTGACCTCAAGTACAATCCGTGACGTTTTTAGTATCAAAATTTACCTCAGAAGTACCATCCGTCACGTGCTCAGTACCAGATTTTACCTCAGAAAAAGTACATTCCCATCACGTTTTTCGTATTACATTTTACCTCAGAAGTAAACCCTCCTCGCGTTTTAGTCTAAAATGTGACCTCAAGTACACGTTTTTAGTATCAAAATTTACCTCAGAAGTACCATCCGTCACGTGCTCAGTACCAGATTTTACCTCGGAAAAAGTACATTCCCATCACGTTTTTCGTATTACATTTTACCTCAGATGTAAACACTCCTCACGTTTTAGTCCAAAATGTGACCTCAAGTACAATCCGTGACGTTTTTAGTATCAAAAGTTACCTCAGAAGTACCATCCGTCACGTGCTCAGTACCAGATTTTACCTCAGAAAAAGTACATTCCCATCACGTTTTTCGTATTACATTTTACCTCAGAAGTAAACCCTCCTCGCGTTTTAGTCTAAAATGTGACCTCAAGTACACGTTTTTAGTATCAAAATTTACCTCAGAAGTACCATCCGTCACGTGCTCAGTACCAGATTTTACCTCAGAAAAAGTACATTCCCATCACGTTTTTCGTATTACATTTTACCTCAGATGTAAACACTCCTCACGTTTTAGTCCAAAATGTGACCTCAAGTACAATCCGTGACGTTTTTAGTATCAAAAGTTACCTCAGAAGTACCATCCGTCACGTGCGCAGTACCAGATTTTACCTCAGAGTACATTCCCATCACGTTTTTCGAATTACATTTTACCTCAGAAGTAAACCCTCCTCACGTTTTAGTCCAAAATGTGACCTCAAGTACAATCCGTGACGTTTTTAGTATCAAAATTTACCTCAGAAGTACCATCCGTCACGTGCTCAGTACCAGATTTTACCTCAGAAAAAGTACATTCCCATCACGTTTTTCGTATTACATTTTACCTCAGATGTAAACCCTCCTCACGTTTTAGTCCAAAATGCGACCTCAAGTACAATCCGTGACGTTTTTAGTATCAAAAGTTACCTCAGAAGTACCATCCGTCACGTGCTCAGTACCAGATTTTACCTCAGAAAAAGTACATTCCCATCACGTTTTTCGTATTACATTTTACCTCAGAAGTAAACCCTCCTCACGTTTTAGTCCAAAATGTGACCTCAAGTACAATCCGTGACGTTTTTAGTATCAAAATTTACCTCAGAAGTACCATCCGTCACGTGCTCAGTACCAGATTTTACCTCAGAAAAAGTACATTCCCATCACGTTTTTCGTATTACATTTTACCTCAGAAGTAAACGCTCCTCACGTTTTAGTCCAAAATGTGACCTCAAGTACAATCCGTGACGTTTTTAGTATCAAAAGTTACCTCAGAAGTACCATCCGTCACGTGCTCAGTACCAGATTTTACCTCAGAAAAAGTACATTCCCATCACGTTTTTCGTATTACATTTTACCTCAGAAGTAAACCCTCCTCACGTTTTAGTCCAAAATGTGACCTCAAGTACAATCCGTGACGTTTTTAGTATCAAAATTTACCTCAGAAGTACCATCCGTCACGTGCTCAGTACCAGATTTTACCTCAGAAAGTACATTCCCATCACGTTTTTAGTACTAAATGTTACCTCGGGTGTACATTCTCACCTTTAAAAATACCAAATTTTACCTCGTAGCCCCCTCACGTTTTACGTTAGTATTTGGCTGCTATAACTTTCCACATTATTGATAGGAGCCACCCACTAACTTGGTCGAGTCGCTTCTGGTAAAGATCGACGGAGCTCAGTTGGGGCCTTATTGCACCTGGTACAAATAAAAAAAAGTTTATAGTTTAAATTTTTTAAAAATTTTATGGTTCAACAGTTTTTAGCTGAGCACATTTTACCTCAGCAGTGCATTCCTTCGATTTTTTTTGTTCAAAATTTACCTCAGAAAAATAATCCCCTTAACGGGTTTAGTACTTGTGGAGCTCTGTGGGCCTTAACCTGGTGGAATTTTTTTTAAATAAAAGTAGCTTATTTAAAAAAAAAGTTGCATCGTTGTTAGTTTAGTACAACATTTGACCTCAGAAGTGCAATCCTTATGTTTCTCGTCCAAAGTTTACCTCAGAAAAACTAAACCCTGACGGTTTATAAGTTACCGTGGAGCTAAGTGGGCCTGAACCCGGTAAAAAAATAAAATAAGAGTAGTTTTATCATTTTAAACGTTTAATCCTTGTTAGTTTAGTACAACATTTTACATCAGCAGTACAATCCTTACGTTTTTAGTCCAAATGTTTACTTCAGAACAATAATCCCATGACGGTTTTAGTACCGTAGAGCTCAGTGGGCCTTGAGCTGGTGAAAAAAAAACCCAAAAACTTTATAGTTAATAAAAAGTAAGTAATAGTTCTTAGTTTAGTACATTTTACCTCACAAATGCAATATCACGCGTTTTTAGGACAATTTTTTGTTTGTTTGTTTACAAATTCAGTACGACCACCCCAGAACCTTTTAAGGTCAACCGATTGTTACGCTGTAATTTACAGACGTTGAGTTGTTTAAATTGGAGAGAGACAAAAAAATATGACACAGATCCAGTGGACAAAAGTGCAATACTTTGGGGGCTCTGGACATAACGCGACTCTCAGACCCATCATCATCATCACCAACCATAACACAATGCAAAGGGGGGGGGGTCGATAAAATATTGTACTCACGGTACTAACTTGTTCATTTGGGAGGGGTGGAGGATTATAAAGTATGTACGAGTACTAACTTTACGGGAATTAGCGTCGTGAACGTCTATTATTATAAATTAGGGATACATTCGCTGAATAAACGCCAAGTACCAACAGAATAAAACGTTTTAGCCTCCCCGGTTGTTGTCGTCGTCGCCGTGGTCTCTCTCCACTGCTGGATGAACAACGCCGACGTGACTCCGCACTGATGGAGGCGATCTCTCTCGTCCGTGTCCTCTTTGTCAGCAGCGGAGCGGCGAGGGAGCTGGCCGGGGTGAATCCCAGAAAGTACTCTCGTCTCTGGCCTCCGCTGGTTTGGTCGTAGCACAGGTGGGCGAGTGGGTGAGTGGGTGGGTGAGTGGGTGAGTGAGTGGGTGGGTGAGTGGGTGGGTGAGTGAGTGGGTGAGTGAGTGGGTGGGTGGGTGAGTGAGTGGGTGGGTGAGTGGGTGAGTGGGTGGGTGAGTGGGTGAGTTGGTGAGTGGGTGGGTGAGTTGGTGAGTGGGTGAGTGAGTGGGTGGGTGAGTCAGTGAGTGGGTGATTGGGTGAGTGAGTGGGTGAGTGAGTGAGTGAGTGGGTGAGTGAGTGGGTGGGTGAGTGGGTGGGTGGGTGGGTGAGTGGGTGGGTCAGTGGGTGGGTGGGTGAGTTGGGTGAGTGGGTAGGTGAGTGAGTGGGTGGGTGAGTGAGTGGATGAGCGGGTGAGTTGGGTGAGTGAGTGAGTGGGTGAGTGAGTGGATGAGTGGGAGTGAGTGGGTAGGCGAGTGGGTGGGTGGGTGGGTGAGTGGGTTGGGTGAGTGAGTTGGTGGGTGAGTGGGTGGGTCAGTGGGTGAATGGGTGGGTGAGTGAGTGAGTGGATGAGTGTGGGTGAGAGTGGGTGAGAGTGGATGAGAGTGGTGGGTAGGCAAGTGAGTGGGTGGTGAGCGAGCGAGTGGCTGTGTAAGTGGGTGAGCGAGCGAGTGGCTGTGTAAGTGGGTGAGCGAGCGAGTGACTGTGTAAGTGGGTGAGCGAGTGAGTGGGTGGCTGTGTAAGTGGGTGAGTGAGTGGTTGTGTAAGTGGGTGGTGAGCGAGTGAGTGGCTGTGTAAGCGAGTGGCTGTGTAAGTGGGTGGCTGTGTAAGTGGGTGAGTGAGTGGCTGTGTAAGTGGGTGGCTGTGTAAGTGGGTGAGTAAGTGGTTGTGTAAGTGGGTGGTGAGCGAGTGAGTGGCTGTAAACGAGTGGCTGTGTAAGTGGGTGGCTGTGTAAGTGGGTGAGTGGGTGGCTGTGTAAGTGGTGAGCGAGTGAGTGGCTGTGTAAGTGAGTGAGTGGCTGTGTAAGTGGGTGGTGAGTGAGCGAGTGGCTGTGTAGGTGAGTGGTGAGCGAGCGAGTGGCTGTGTAAGTGTGCGAGTGAGTGGCTGTGTGAGTGAGTGGCTGTGTGAGTGGCTGTGTAAGTGAGTGGCTGTGTAAGTGAGTGGCTGTGTAAGTGGGTGAGTGAGTGGCTGTGTAAGTGGCTGTGTAAGTGGCTGTGTAAGTGAGTGGCTGTGTAAGTGAGCGAGTGAGTGGCTGTGTAAGTGGGTGGCTGTGTAAGTGAGTGGCTGTGTAAGTGAGCGAGTGAGTGGCTGTGTAAGTGAGTGGCTGTGTAAGTGAGCGAGTGGCTGTGTAAGTGAGTGGCTGTGTAAGTGAGCGGCTGTGTAAGTGAGCGAGTGAGTGGCTGTGTAAGTGAGTGGCTGTGTGAGTGGGTGGCTGTGTAAGTGGTGAGTGAGTGAGTGGCTGTGTAAGTGGGTGGCTGTGTAAGTGGTGAGTGAGTGGCTGTGAAAGTGGTGTGTAAGCGAGTGGCTGTGTAAGTGTGTAAGTGAGTGGCTGTGTGAGTGAGTGGCTGAGTGAGTGGCTGTGTGAGCGAGTGGCTGTGTAAGCGAGTGGCTGTGTAAGTGTGTGAGTGAGTGGCTGTGTAAGTGGCTGTGTAAGCGTGTGGCTGTGTAAGTGTGTGAGTGGCTGTGTAAGCGAGTGGCTGTGTAAGTGAGTGAGTGGCTGTGTAAGTGAGTGGCTGTGTAAGTGTGTGAGTGGCTGTGTAAGCGTGTGGCTGTGTAAGTGTGTGAGTGGCTGTGTAAGCGAGTGAGTGGCTGTGTAAGTGTGTAAGTGAGTGGCTGTGTAAGTGAGTAAGTGAGTGGCTGTGTAAGTAAGTGAGTGACTGTGTAACCGTGTAAGCGAGTGGCTGTGTAACCGTGTAAGTGAGTGGCTGTGTAAGCGAGTGGCTGTGTAAGCGTGTAAGCTAGTGGCTGTGTAAGTGTGTAAGTAAGTGGCTGTGTAAGTGAGTGGCTGTGTAAGTGTGTAAGCTAGTGGCTGTGTAAGCGTGTAAGTGGCTGTGTAAGTGTGTAAGTAAGTGGCTGTGTAAGCGAGTGGCTGTGTAAGTGTGTAAGCTAGTGGCTGTGTAACCGTGTAAGCGAGTGGCTGTGTAACCGTGTAAGTGAGTGGCTGTGTAAGCGAGTGGCTGTGTAAGCGAGTGGCTGTGTAAGCGTGTAAGCTAGTGGCTGTGTAAGTGTGTAAGCTAGTGGCTGTGTAAGCTAGTGGCTGTGTAAGCGAGTAGCTGTGTAAGTGAGTGTGTAAGCTAGTGGCTGTGTAAGTGTGTAAGTAAGTGGCTGTGTAAGCTAGTGGCTGTGTAAGCTAGTGGCTGTGTAAGTGTGTAAGTAAGTGGCTGTGTAAGCGAGTGGCTGTGTAAGCGTGTAAGTGGCTGTGTAAGCTAGTGGCTGTGTAAGCGTGTAAGTGGCTGTGTAAGCGAGTGGCTGTGTAAGCTAGTGGCTGTGTAAGCGTGTA